TCCATCAGGAGCATTTTGATTTCTACTATTTCTCTATTTCTGGAAACAAATCCTCTCACAGTTATTTTATTACAGCTGGATATATATCTCAGCACAAAGTAATTTTAATTGTTTGTTATTACCTTATATTTTTTAATACCTCATCTGTTTTTATCTTATGGTTTATTTTGTAACTCATCACTTATATAACTAATCAGATTTTTCTTACTGGGGCTTCAATTAGAAAATGAAGATTTAAAAGTGTGGACAGAAGGATTCGATCACTTGCACTAATTATCCTGCATCTGACCTGACTTCATTTTCCCTTTCTTCTGTTTTCTGCCATTTTTCTGTTTTCTTCTGTTCACTTTTTTCTCATCAATTGTACATACTTTGCAAAATTGTTATCAAATAAGTATATTCAATATGTTCCATTAACATTTTAAATAGTTTAACACTTTTATATTATCACATTAACGTCTGTATATCAATTTTCTTTGTATATTCATTAAAAAATTATCTATATTTAAGCACTGACCAGTTCATTCTTTCCTTAATATATATTAAATGATTACCAACTACTAATTCAAACATTCAATTTTGTTTTAATATACTCATAATCATAATTTTATATTTTAAGAAAGAAATATATGGTATTTCAAAAAGACTATTACTAGAGGCAATTTTAAGTACTGACACATATTTCAGACAATTGTTATAACAGTTACTGCATTTACATTACAATAACAAGTGGAGAGCTAGCATCTAGATATATATGTCATAGGAAATATGCTTAGTTTTTAAAAGAAAAACATTCTGTTTCAACTCAAAAACATTTGCATAGCTTTATGCTTCTTACACATAGAAATATGTATAAGAAAATACGAGAAGGAGAAGATATAGCTAGAAAATAGAGAGAGGAAATATATCTTTATCTTCATTTTGGCAGTTTTTGACTTTCAAAAAATAGCCAGCATGAAAACATAGATATATATAATACAGAGAAAAGTCAAGCTGAGTATAGAAAGCCCATAGCAATCAGAAGAATGTGGCTGAATACTCAGATCATTTGAAGTTCTTTTGATCATAAGGAGCCTGAATTTCAGAATCTGGATATGTTGGAGAGGAAACACATCCTCCAAGGTAAGGTTTGATGGTGAATTTTTTAAAAAAAAATATTTTCTCAAATTTGTGGGTTGAAATTCATGAGAGTTGTAATAGCTAATTAAGAGAATACAAATTTGAAAACTATCAATTTCTATCTAGGCATTTATTCTTAAAATTTTATTTTTTAGGCATAATCTGTTTTCAATCTGACAAGAGAAAACTTCTGAGATTTCTTGAATTAAATTACAACAGGCCAGAGTGTGGGAGAAAGAGATAGCCGAAGTAATCAGTTAATAGCTGTGGGCCAAAACAAAAGACCACTCTTATTCCAGAATGTTTATTGAAACTTTCAACCAACTTCCAGGCAGCTATCTAAAAATATATATATAACCAATTACCAGATGCCACCACATCCTGCTTATGCAAGAACTTTCTGAACTGTTGCCCACAACCAATAAAGAAGTAGACTGTCAAGATGACAAAATAGGCAAACGCTGACTTGCATCTTCCCACAACCACACCAAAATTACAGGTAAATTATGGAACTACTACCTTTGAGACCACCTGAAGACATCATATAACTAAGGACATATAAAAGAAGCCAGGTTGAGAGTGGTAGGAGGGGCAAAGACATGCAACGGCTGGTCCCACACCCATATGTAGAAGTTAAGAATAAGAAGGGATATCTCCACTGTAGAGGGCCTCCCCTGAGAACCGAGGGTTCCCAGCTCCACACCAGGATCCCCAGCCCAGAGCATCAGTACCAGGAAGAGGAGTCCCTACAACAGCTGGCTGGGAAACTCAGCAGGGACTGAGTCTGGGTGAGATGAGACAGGGGTCTGCTATAGACCCAGATGTCCTCTTAAAGGGCTCAGCACAGAAGCACAGACTCACTTGCTGACAAACACTCACCCTAAGCTCTAGAGAAAGGACAGCAGCTGGCAAAGTGCCAATTGTCTGTCTTTTGGGCAAGGGCTGAAGGAATAGGTCCCTCCAGGAATAAAGTGCCAGCAGGTGCCAATGTTATTTTGCTGAGTCCTATCCCCACTTACCATGCAGGCACAGGAGGCCACCAAATCTGAGTCTCCATTAAGCTGGTTAACACCACTGTCATCCCACTCTGGTGATTCTCTGAGACCCTGACCCAGCCAATGCACATGCCCAGCCCATACCTCTTTCAGAAGCTAATCCTCTGAACAAGCAGTTGGTCCTGGGCCTATGATGTGGACTTTTCTAAAATCTCTTAAAGGTTCACAAACCCCAAACAAGTAGTGGATAGCCCTCGCATGCCCTGTACCTCAAGCCAAGGACCCGTGGCAGTGAGTCTTGCTTCACAGCATAACCACTCCCAGGCTCCTCCAAACCCAACACAGGCAGCTACCAATGACAGGTCACTTTATAGATCTTACCAGGTGGACCCGGGCAGGATACAGGCAGTGGCTGACCTTGCCCTGCACTGGAACCACTCCCAAGAGCCCAAGAACCAACAGATCTAGTGGGTGGCTTCAGACCACAGCAGAGCACCCCCCTCAATTACCACCACATACAACATATCCAATCAAAAGATGAATGGATAAAAAAGAGGTGGTACATACATACAACAGACTATTACTCAGCATTAAAAAGCAGTGGAATATTACCATTTGCAACAACACGGATGGACCCAGAGGGTATTATGCTAAGTGAAATGAGTCAGACAAAGAAAGACAAAGACCACAAATAATGATGTATGATATCAGATGGGTCCAAGACTTATCAGGGGGATTACTTTGCAAGTTACATAAATGTCTAACCACTATGCTGTACACCTGAAACTAATATAATATTGAATGTCTACTGAAATTGACAAACAAAAGAAAAGTTTTAATTAAAAAAAATTTAAGTAGTAAATATTTCTTCTTTAAGAACTATGCACCTATCCTAGTCCTGTCCCAGTTTCACCTTTTCTTGCCCCTCCTTATCTATAGCCAATGTAAATTCTTTCAAAACAACTCACATCTTTCTTTCCCAAACTCATGTGTAAAAAAACTGACAACTGCTGATGGTGGTTTAGACTGCATGTCCCCAAACCAGCTCCTTTCTCTGATTAGTATATGGCTCAATAAACCCTTTCTTTCAGCCGCAAAGGTTTTTGTTTAACAAATCACTCATTGATCATTTGATCTGAACTATCATTGTTGAACTCTTCCTCTGCCTTTCCGCCCTTAAAACATAAATAAAATTTAACAAAAAATTTTTATTAATGTTCAATTGCATGCAGAATGCAGCAAATGATATAATGAGTACTCATGTATCTATCAAAAGCATTGGCAATTATCAACATTCTGCCATTTCTTTTATTTATATCCTCATGTTATGCTATTTTGCAAAGTATTTTAAAGCAATTTTTGAGACATCAAATTATTTTAGCTATAAGTGTTTCGAATGAATGCATTATACAATTTTAATAGGAAAAGAGTTCTTTTTATTTTCATGAGGGTTTCATAGTATATACATATATCAAAACTAATCGATTTGCATATGTTAAATGTATGAATTTAGTTTTGTGTCAATAGCACTGCAATACAGCAGTAAGAAAAATTTGCACATATTTTGTTTCATCTGTATCTAGGTATCATATGCATTTTTATGCTGTTATAAAATAGAAAATAAATAAAACTATTTTATTTTTAGTTATTTTTGCTAGCATGTAAAACATAGGCTTGGGACTTATGCTCAAGATGGTGGAGTAGGTAAAGTCTGAGCTTGCCTCCTCCTAAAACCACATCAAAATTACAACTAAATTAAGGGCCAGCCAAGTGGCTCAGTTGGTTAAGAGCTCGCTCAAGAGTTTGAGCTCTGAGCAACAGCGGTTCGAGTCCAGCCCAAGCTGAGCAGCTGCTGAGCTGCCAACAGGTAGCAGGATGGCTCAGCTAAAAAAAAAAAAAAAATTACAACTAAATTATAGAAGAACCATCATTGAGAGCCATCTGGATATTAGCTGAATAGAAATCCTATAGTTAAGCATACAAGAAAAAGCCACGGTAGGAGGGTCAGAGATGTGGAATGGGCAGGCCCCACACCTATGGTGCAGCGATTAAGAATCAGGAGGGATATCTTGGCTGCAGAGTTTACCTCTGAAAAGTGAGGGATTCCAGTCCTATACCAGGCTTCCCAGCCTAGCATACAAATGCAATAAAGAGAAATCCCCATTATCTAGCTGTGAAAACCCATGGGGATTGTGTTGGGATAAGACAAAAGGATGACAGAGATGGAGGTGCTCCTCTTAAAGGGCCCATGCACAGAGTCACTTGCTATAAGCTCCAGCACAAGGGTAGCAGCTCAGAATGCACCAGCGATATAACAGGGAGAAACTAAACTGACTAACTTGGGAGTAAGGGCAGGAGAGACATAGGTTGGGCAACTCTCCAGGGACGAAAGCACTAGCAGATGACACTGTTCCTTTGTTTAACTCTCCTCCCACCCAGCTACCACAGTGCAGGTGGGGATCAAATCTGTGCTCTCCATTAAGCTGGCTAACACCATTTGGCCACCCTGATGATTCCCTAAGACCCCTCCCACCCATCACACCTGCCTGGCCAAAGGTGCTTCCAGTGGCTCCTCCACATAAGCAGCCTGCTTTGGTTTATACTTCAGACTTGCCAAAAACCTCTGAAAGGTTGACAAATCCCAAACAATGGCTGGTCTCAATGTGCCTTGTACTTCTGGCTAAGTGGTTCAAAAGCTCAGCACAAGTGACAACAGCTCTCAACTTGCAATGTAATTCCCATCAGGTGGTCCCAAGCCTGGCATAAGCAGCAGCCAGTCTTGGCCTGGAACATAGCTTCAACTAAGCAGACACATGTCCAGCACAAGCAGCAGCTCAAGCACAAGGCCTCAACACAAATCACAGTGCCCACGAAAGGGTCCCTTACCTGGTACATGTGACAGCTGGCCTAGTGTGCTCGCCCAAGTACCTCCAAGCCAAGCACAAGCAGAAACCAAATACAGATCAGTTTGTAGTTCCTACCAAGCAGCCCCAAGCTCACAAGTGTCACAAGTGGTGGTGACCTTGGTCTGCACCAGTGCCCCTCCCAAGAGGCTCCAAAAATAACACACCCAGTGGAAAGCTTCAGACCAGACCAGAGCACCACCCAATCCACTCTATAAATAACATACCCAAAAGGCAGACTCGGCTGGCACCAGAGCCCTTATAAAGCAACTCATATTTTGTCGGGTCAGTCCCCACACATCAGCTCATCTAATATAATCACAGCCAGCCCTCACTGCTAGTAACCCCACACACTAGCATGCCAGCAGCATTCAAGGCTCCACTACAACAGGAAGACAAACACAACCAACACAGAAGACATGCTTGAAGCACCCAGCTCAGGTGACCAGGGAGACTGTGCCACTGGGCCATAGGATGCCTTCTATATAACTCCACTCTGTCAAGACTGACAGATGTAGAGCCACCTAATACATAAAAGGAGTCAGCTAAAATGAGGAGACAAAGAAACATGTTCCAAACTGAAGAACAGAACAAAACTCCAGAAAAAGATCTAAGCAAATTGAAGATAAGCCATCTACTAGATACTGAGTTCAAAGCACTGGTTATAAGGATGCTCAATGAACTTTGGGGAAAAATAGATGAACTCATTGAGAACTTGGACAAAGAGAAAACAAAAAAAAATAGTAAGCATAAGAAAAATTAGTCAGAAATAAAGAATACAATAATTGAGATGAAGAAAATACTAGAGGAAATCATGGCAGATTAGATGAAGAACAGGACTGAATCAACAATCTGGAACACAAGGTACCAGAAAGTACAATCAGAAAAACAAAAAGCAAAAAAAAAGGTGTTTTTTTGTTTGTTTGTTTGTTTTTTGTTTGTTTGTTTAAAAGATTTTTATTGGGGAATGGGGGGATGGGAACAGTGCTGGGGAATTGGGGGAAGGGGAACAGACAAGTTGCTGTCCTTTTGTTTCTTCAATCTAGTTGTGGAGGACGTTGCTTCACTGGCCCAAGTTGGCACCATCATTGTGCTCTTCTCTGGCGAGGCAGATCAGTCGCCGGCCTTCTGGACGGCCGCTCACTGCGGCTGCTGGCCGCTCATGCTGGCTGCTGGCTACACACAGTAGCCCATGGCAACCCACTGCCACAGGGATTGCAGCCTACGCCGTCGCCGGCGACTCATGGCAGCCCAGCTCCAGGTCGAGCTGTTGTTCAGCATCTTAGCTGTGGAGGGCACTGTCACTGGCCCTCATATGTGGGATCCGAACCGGGGCCCTCTGGCATCCCAAGCGAGTTCTTAACCATTGCGCCACTCGGCCGGCCCTTTTTGTTGTTGTTTTAAATAAGGACAGTCTAAAGGACCTCTGGGGCAATATCAAGCATGCCAAAATTTGCATCATAGGAGTACGCGAATGAGAATGGACTGAAAACCTATTTGAAGAAATAACGACTGAAAACTTCCCTAACCTAGTGAAGAAAAAACAGACACCGATGTTCATGTTACCCAGAGAGTCCCAAACAGGCTGAACCCAAAGAGGCCCATACCAAGACATATTATAATTAAAACGCCAAAAATTAAAAACAAAGAATCTTAAAAGTAGCAAGAGAAAAGTAGTTAGTTACATATAAAGGAACCTCCCATAAGACTGACAGCTGATTTCTCAACAGAAATATTGCAGGCCAGAAGGGACTAGCACAAAATATTCAAAGTGATGAAAAGTAAGGATCTACAACCAAGATTACCCAGCAAAGCTATCACTGAAGTGGAGAAATAGCTTCCCAGACAAGGAAAAGCTAAAGGAATTCATCACCACTAAACCAGTAGTTCAATAAATGCTAAAGGGACTTCTTTAAGAAATAAAGAAAACATAAAAAAATTCAGCATCCACTTACGATAAAAACTTTCAGCAAAGTGGGACGAGGGTACATGCCTCAACATAATAAGGCCACATATGACAAACCCCCAGTTAACATCACACTCAACAGTGAAAAGCTGAAAGCTTTTCTTTAAGATCAGAAAGGAGACAAGAATGTCAACTTTCATCACTTTTATTGAACACAGTATTGGCAATCCTAGCAACAGCAATCATACAAGAAAAGAATGATAATAATAGGTATCCAAGATGAAAAGGAAGAATTGAAACTGTCATTATTTGCAGATGGCATGATACTATACATTGAGAGCCCTAAAGATTGCCCCAAAAAAACATTAGAACTCATAAATTCAGCAAAGTAGGATACAAAATTAATATTCAGAAATCATTTGTATTTTATACACCAATAACAAACTATCAGAAAGGGAAAGTAAGAAAATAATTCCATTCACAATTTCATGAAAAACAATAAAATACCTAGACATGACTTTATCCAAGGAGGTAAAAGACCTGTATTCAAAAAACTTGAAGACACTGAAGAAATTGAAAATACAAATAAATGGAAGGATATACCATGATCATGAATAAGAAGAATTAACATTCTTAAAATGTTTTACTACCCAAAGCAATCTGTTGATTCAATAAAATCCCTTTAAAAATACCAATAATAATAGTTTTCACAGAACTAGAACAAATAATTGTAAAATTTAAATGGGACCACAATAGACCACGAATAGCCAAAGCAATCTTGAGAAAGAAGAACAAAATTGGAGGTATCATGCTACCTGATATGAAATTGTTAAAAAAAAAAAGGCAACAGTAATCAAAATAGCATGGTGCTGACATAAAGAAACAGACATTAGATCAATGGAACAGAATAGAGAACCCATAAATAAACCCAAGCCTACATGGTAAATTAATGTATGACAAAGAAGACAACAATGTACAATGGAGTAAAGACAGTCTCTGCAAAAAATAAAACTAGACTACTTTCTTACACCATATACAAAAATAAACTCAGTATGGGTCAAATACTTACATGTAAGACCCAAAACTGTAAGATTCCTGGAAGAAAACATAGGCAGTAAACTCTTTGACATCGTTTTTAGCAATATTTTTTGGGATGCATCTCTCCAGGCAAGGAAATCAAAAGAAGAAATAAACAAGTAGGACTATATCAAACTAAAAATGTTTTACACAGCAAAGGAAACGATATTTTATTGTGGGATGTAGTTTTAAAAAAAGTAGAAAAGATAAAAGCATTGCACAAAATATATTTGGTTTCTTCTGAGGGGGGATACGGAAGTGTGGGGGGGGGTTGTTTGTTTTTTGTGTTTTGCCAAACCAGGAGGAAAGAATTTCTGACGGAGAGAAGTAAAAAGAGAAGCATTGAAGGAAGTTCAAGGACACAACACAGAGAAACATTTTACATTAACAATAAGCCATAGCAAAGGTAGCATGTTGAGGTAACCTATTAGAGTCACCCGTCTTTTGAACATTTAACCCAATTAAATTTAATCTTCATAAAAACATTAGAGCAAAACCAGCAAATAAAAACAACTCTTAGATTATCTCTTTAAGTTACTGTATTTGCCGGCGTATAAGACGACTGGGCGTATAAGACGACCCCCTAACATTTCCACTCAAAATACAGAGTTTGTTATATACTCGCTGTATAAGACTACCCCCTCTTCCGCACACCTTCCACACACCAAATAAAAGGTAAAACAATATCAGATTTGATTTCAACATTTTAATTTATATTCAAATGCTTATGACATGCAGGAAAACTGTCACAAGGCTGTATGTAATCAAACATATACATAAAACAGTGCAAGTTTATTACCGGTAAACATACCGGTAATTCACTAAAGAAAACACACTCTATTGACTGGTACCATAGATTTTGCGAGTGTGGTAAAATCGCATAACAGCAAAGTCGCATAACAGCCGAGCATACACCCAGCAGCGCTGCTGATGCCTGAACGGTATGTGGAATGAAGTGGGCGGGCATCGGGAGGCCACTATGCCATGGGGCAAGCACTATGGGCAGTCTATCTGAAGTGTACCTGGCGTATAAGACGACCCCCCACTTGGAGGCATATTTTTCAGGGCCAAAAAATCGTCTTATACGCCGGCAAATACAGTACATTTTTTTTTTTTTGCTTTCATAGTCTCATTTTACTTTGAATATACTAAGAAGTGAATTTCTTTGATTCACTGTAACAGGGCTTTTCTACATGACCACAGAAACCTTTACATGCCCTGATACTTTCCAAATGCAAAGCTTTCTTTATTTTTCTATTTCTTTATTTTTTCTCTTTATTTGGTTCCATGATCCTAAATAAAAGTAATTAACTTGCATATGTAAAGGCATTTAAATTATACAAGCACCCATAGAAAAGAGAAATTCATATAATTTGAACCATACAAAATGTCCTTAATTTTATTCTTTAGAGTCTAAACTGCAGTGTGCAAACACCATAGAACTCCAAAGATTCAGTTTCTTAATTAGACTTCCTGGACAGCAAATCCAGAGATAAATGTTTTCTGGTGTTTCTTAGTATATAACCTGCCATAATTCTGGAAGTTAATATGTGAGTATGCATTTCTGAAAAAAATCAAAGTTGGTAACTAAGAAAATTATCTCACTATTTTGTCATACTTAAGGGGCCTGTGAGATTCAAATCTAGGAGTGAGTAACATTGTAATAACTATAATTTCTTGAACTTTTTGCATGCATCATGTACTATGTTACACATTAGTAATCGGGTCTTATTTAATTTCTATAACAACACTCTGATTATTGTCTCCATTTTATATGTGAAGTAACTGAGATTTCAGGGTGTTAAATAATTTCCCCAAAGCTACACAGCTTGGGCGATAAAGACAAGCTCAGTCTTAACCTTCTGTCTGCCTTCAATCTTTTCAGGCTGGCCTTCATCACATTCCTCCTACCCCAAACTGTGTCCATTGTCACAGCAGCCAGATTAAAACAAAACAAAGCAAACAAACAAAACAAAAAACATTACAGATGGAAATAAAAGCTAAGAATAATGACTTCTCATAGCAAACAAGGGGTATTGACAACAGCGGGATTTGAACTCATAGCCTTTATCCAGATCTACACTATGTTCTAACATAAAAGCTAATCAGCC